CACAAAGTATATATATTCTTGATCAGGATGAGAAGCCGAGTCGATATAGCCTTGTCCGTCCGTCCGTCTGTCCGTCTGTCCGTCTGTCTGTCCGTCTGTCCGTATGAACGCAAGGATCTCAGAAAGTATAAGAGCTAGAATAACCAAACTTGGTTTCCATATTCTCCTAAGACCGAGAAAGTACGAGTTTGAGTTTTTTTTCGATGCACCCCCCCACTCCCCCGCAATTCGTGTTTTTTCTTATAACTTCCGTAATTCTCGGAATTTTGAAATCAATTTTGGTAGGTACATCCAGTTAGTACTAATGTGTCCGTGTGCCAAATTTCATCATGATAGGTCAATTCTGAAGAAAGTTATAGCCATAAGTAAAATCGCTGCTCATGCGCTGCCTCTGTCGGCAGCGCTGCCCGCAGCTGTTGTTGTTGTTGCTGCTTTGGTTCAACTTTGTGCTGCATACATACACGCATATAAACACGCATAGGTACGTGATGTAAATGTATGCTGTTAAAACTAAACATAAACATATATTCTAATTTAATTTAATTAATTAATTCATTAATTTTTTTTAATAATTTAATTTTTTTTTTAATTTTTTTTTTTTTAATTTTTCTTTTTTTGTGGAGAGTACAGGCTATTTTACTGTCGGGCTTGCTCGACTGTAGCGTTCTATCTTGTTTAAATTAATGAACAATGAATATGGTAAAACTATGGGAAATGTTGAGAAACGTCGAGATGTTAGACTAGTGAGTAGATATGAATCGGCTCAAAACTCTGTGGGTTACAGACAACTTGTAGCTATGCCGAGTTGCCACAGCATTGAAATATTTAATAATTATTTAGCAGCAGTAGAACTTTCTCAACTAGAAATAGTATATGATAAGCCGATTTACATAGGATTCACAGTTTTACAGCTTTCAAAATGGTTGATGTATGAATTTTATTACGAATTTCTTACTAACGTATCAGACACAATTGAAATACTTGTAGTATACATGGATACCGACTCTTTTATTACATCTTTAACCGTTCACATATATGAATTAATTAAACAATATCCTGAAAGGTTCGACACATCAAACTATAATGAAAGAAATAGATTCGGTATGTTACCCGCTAATAACAAGGGACTACGTTTAATGAAGGATGAAAATGCTGGAAACATAATCCTTAGCAGGTTTGAAAGCAAAAGCTTATTCATATAACGTTGAAACAACAAAAGAAATTGATAGTGAAATTATAAAAGTAAAAGGTGTTAATAGATCTGTTCTAAACAAAATTAAATCATTCTGATTATATTGAATGAATCCGAAAAAGAAAAATATTTTTGGGACAGCAAAGGGTGATAAGAAGCACTAAAAAAAAGCACTAAAATTGTAAATAAAGTAAGTCTTAATTAAAAAGATGATAAGAGGTATATTACTGAAGATAGAATCAATACTTTAGCGTAATGTATTATAAAATTGACTTGATGAAAATTGTACATCGTATTTAATATTTAAAACATAGTATTTTATATATTTATAAGCAACATTGAATTGTATACAAGTATGCAAATAAACTTGTATTTAAACGAATAAATAAATTATTGAAAAGCAATTCTCTTTGTTAATACATTTTTTATAGCCTGTACCCAAAGGGTGAAAGGCTATACTAGTTTTGTGCGCATGTATGTAACACACAGAAGGAGGCGTGGCAGACCCCACAAAGTATATATATTCTTGATCAGGATGAGAAGCCGAGTCGATATAGCCTTGTCCGTCCGTCCGTCTGTCCGTCTGTCTGTCCGTCTGTCCGTCTGTCCGTATGAACGCAAGGATCTCAGAAAGTATAAGAGCTAGAATAACCAAACTTGGTTTCCATATTCTCCTAAGACCGAGAAAGTACGAGTTTGAGTTTTTTTTCGATGCACCCCCCCACTCCCCCGCAATTCGTGTTTTTTCTTATAACTTCCGTAATTCTCGAAATTTTGAAATCAATTTTGGTAGGTACATCCAGTTAGTACTAATGTGTCCGTGTGCCAAATTTCATCATGATAGGTCAATTCTGAAGAAAGTTATAGCCATAAGTAAAATCGCTGCTCATGCGCTGCCTCTGTCGGCAGCGCTGCCCGCAGCTGTTGTTGTTGTTGCTGCTTTGGTTCAACTTTGTGCTGCATACATACACGCATATAAACACGCATAGGTACGTGATGTAAATGTATGCTGTTAAAACTAAACATAAACATATATTCTAATTTAATTTAATTAATTAATTCATTAATTTTTTTTAATAATTTAATTTTTTTTTTAAATTTTTTTTTTTTAAATTTTTCTTTTTTTGTGGGCAGTACAGGCTATTTTACTGTCGGGCTTGCTCGACTGTAGCGTTCTATCTTGTTTATTAATCCTTTAATTACAATATATTTTTCTTAGCGATCCATGAATTATGGCTTCCATAAAATCTTAACCATTTTACCAATACCTTATTACCTTTAGTTGTCAAAATTTTGTCAACACCATAAGCATTCTTAACTTTAACCTTTTGAAATTCATACTCATAAAATGAACCTTCAAACAATTCTTTCTTATAAACTTGTAAAATATACGTCACTAGAGAAATTAACGTAACTTTTTTCTTTGTAAATATTTTAGTGGTCCAGCTTGGTTCATAACCTTTTTCGAAATGTCCTTTGTATTTACTTATTCGAACAGAGTCTCCTACTGAATATTTGTGCGACGGAAATACTTTCGCATAATTGTATGCAGTATTTAAAATAAATTCTTCATTTTGTTTTCCAACAGAAGTGGGTTTAATTTTAATAGTACTATGATATGTATTGTTATACTTTGAAACTAAATCTTGTATTCGATACATCCATCTATTTTTTCCTTGCATGCTAATCATTCTCCACATCAGATTTTTAAGGGTTCTGTATAAACGCTCGCAGATCGAAGCTCTTAAATGTGTAAAGGTATCGTAATGATTGATTCATAAAAAGCTTTAAGCTTCTATTAAAAAATTCTTTGCCTTGATCTGATTGAATATTTTTAGGAATTACATCTGTTTTCAAAAAAACATTTGTAACACTGATACGATGTTCTCAGCATTTTTTTTTTTTAACTGGTGAGCAGTAGCGGTATCCATTATTTGATTGTTGAAATGGTGTAACGACGCACAGCTGCCAGCTACGCAACGCGTCGTCACGATGCCGATGAGTAGTTTTTAAGTAGGTGTAAGTAGTTGTAAGTTGAAGAGAGTTTTTGGAGTTAGTTCGGTTGGAGAGGCAAACAAACGCGCATTGAAGCGCACCCTCGCTATTTGATTTGGAGAAATAAAAGGATCATATTTGAGTGGTAACTGCGGGCTTGCTTTATTTCTGGGGGACCAAACCAAGAATTTTGCAGCGACTCGGGCCGACGAGTATACCCGGGCCAGAGCAACGTTACAAGTGGCGCCCGAGCAGGGACCCCAAAATAAAGTGAGGTTAAACACGACCGCGACCACGCGGCGAGTTGGAAAACGTAAGGCGAGAACTGTTGACTCGTGATGGTGCGAACGAGCTGGGTGCGAGCGTTGAGGAAGGAGGAGCTGATCGAGCTGCTGCAGGAGTTTGGGATCGACGACGCGGGCACCGTGGAAACGCTGAGAACACGCTTCGCCACGTTTGTGAAAGTGGCGGGGCCGGAACACCAGTCACGCCTAGAACTGCTAGCGGCCCGCTATGAGTCACGTCCGGTGAGTCCCGTACCGCCGAAGGCACAACTGGAGGTCCCCAAGCGAGAGGAAGGTTCGCCCGGCATGCACCTGCCGCCTACGGAAGCTGCGGCATCGCCAAGAAAACCGACCGAGCATCCCAAGACACCATCAACGGGGCCATTAGCGGCAACAGCACCAGCTGGGGCTGCACCAGTGACCGTGACCGCCACCACCACCTATACGACAGAAGCGCCAGCGGCGCCATGCGTGACCACGAACCAGATCGGCAGCGGGGACCCACGGGCATTCTTGCGCAGGCTAGAAGAAAAAGCGGAAGTGAGTGGGGAGCCGGTAGATAATTTGGTGCCGATGTTACCAAACATTTTGAAGGGCGCGGCACTGACGTGGGACCGCACAAGGCGAAACTCGACCCAGTCGTGGGCAGAGTTCCACGCGGAACTGCTAGAAGCGTACCCGGCCGCTCCTCACATTGAGCGGTGGCGACAGAATGCGCAACGACGCTTTCAGGGCGAGTCGGAGTCCACTGCGACCTACGTCAAGGCGATGCTGGAATTGATGCTCGATGCAGACATGCCCGGAGAGGAGCAGCTGAGGCTCATCTACTGCAACAGCCGACCAGCGATCAACATCAGGATACGACATCAGGATGTCCATACTGTGGCAGAATTCAAACGGCAAGCAGCAGAGCTGGAGGAGTTGGGCCTGGTTCCGGCCTGTACCATTGGGGCAGGCCCATCCCAACCAGCGTTCATGGGCCCACGGGGGTTTCCGATCCGACGTCCGGAGCCAACGGACACGCAGCCCATATCTGGTGGTGAGTTAAACAAGCGAGACTTTGTCCCTTTACAGACTGCACCCGCGCGAACAACAGCAACCAGGCCCGAGATGCAGAGCTCGTCGGCACACCAGGGTCGGTCTTGCAAACGCTGTGGTATGGCGGGGCACGACAACGAATGCTGCCCAAACCAACAACAACTATACTGCTGGGATTGCGGTAGGCTGGGCATACAAGCGAACGAATGCTGTCGCCGCAGAGCGGGAAACGCCAGGGGGGCTCGCCACATACAGCCAATAGGCGAGCCCACGCAGGAAAACTAGTGGCAGAACGCTCGCGAGTGATGGTGTTGAGGGTGGATTGCGGTGGTCTTGCCCTCGACGCGGTGGTGGATACGGGAGCCACTCGCAGCTTCGTGAGCCCGGCGCTGGCACGACGCTTGAGAAAGCCAGGTGGGGAGAATGTACGGAGTGTAGAGGTGTCGATGTCGATGGCCAACGGCTCGCGACAAACTGTTTGCGAGGAGACGATGACGGCGATAACAGTGGACGACAAATGCATCTCGGTACCACTGTTGACACTGCCGGGCTGCGAGGACGAGCTCTCACTAGGGCTAGATTTCATCAGCAAGGCCTATGGTACGCTCACCGCCGGCAGCCATAAGCTGGAGATGCGAGATGTGCGTGAGCGACGACGGCGGAGAAGGCGTCAGGCGCGCCGCAGAGTACCATGTGCGGCATTGGTGACCACAGAGCCAATTGCTCCATCGGCGGCTACGCTGACAGATGAGCAGGCTGCTCAGGCTGCCACGTTCCTTCAGGAGGAATTACCACGCTTTGAGAACATTGTGGGCGTGTCGTCGGTGGCGACACACACGATCCGCGTGAAAGACGACAGGCCCATTAAACAGCGCTACTATCCGAGGAATCCGGCGATGCAAGCGGTGATTGACAACGAGGTTGACGAGTTGCTGGCGAAGGGCTGTATTGAGCGGTCCGATAGCGCGTACAGCGCGCCCAGAGTCCTGGTACGCAAGAAGAATGGGGCGTGGCGAATGTGCATCGACTACCGCCAGCTGAACGAGCGCTCGGAGCCAGACGCATACCCCATTCCGAGGATCCAACATATTCTCGAACAGTTACGACAGGCAAAGTACATCAGCAGCATCGACTTGCGAAACGGTTATTGGCAGATCCCCATGGAGCCCGACAGCCGCAAATACACCGCCTTCACAGTGCCCGGACGGGGCCTTTTCCAATGACGAGTGATGCCATTTGGCCTGCACTCCGCCCCAGCCACCTTACAGCGGGCGCTAGATAGCGTCATCGGCCCGGATATGGCTCCACACGCGTTTGCCTATCTGGACGACATAGTTCTGGTTGGGAAGACACTCGAAGAACACCTATGTAACCTGAGGGAGGTGTTTCGAAGACTGAGAGCGGCAAACCTACGGGTAAATCAAGATAACTGTGAGTTTTTTCGCAGGTCCATACGCTACCTGGGGCACCTGGTGACAGAAGACGGGATACAGACGGATCCAGAAAAGGTGGCAGCCATAAGTGAACTGAAGCCCCCGGCCAACCTAAAACAGCTGCGGCAGTACATCGGGATGGCCTCGTGGTACCGCCGCTTTGTACCCAATTTCGCCACAACGGTAGGCCCACTCACCGAGCTGTTAAAGAAAGGCCACAAGTGGAGTTGGGGAACACCGCAGCAGGAGGCATTTGATTGTATCCAAAGACAGCTCATGGAAGCGCTGGTGTTAGCGTGCCCCGATTTCACACAACGCTTCTGCCTACAGACTGACGCCAGCGAGTATGGGCTGGGCGCGGTTTTGACACAGAACGTAGACGGCCAGGAGCACGTGATTTCCTACGCCAGTAGGAAACTGCAGAAAGCAGAGGTCAACTACAGCGCCACGGAGAAGGAGTGCCTGGCCATTGTTTGGGGAATCCAAAAGCTGCAACACTATCTGGAGGGCTATCACTTTACCGTCGTGACCGACCACTTGGCGTTGCGATGGCTTAACTCAATCGAGAGTCCCACTGGTCGCATTGCTCGCTGGGCCTTGGAGCTGCAACAGTATACATTCGATGTCCAGTACCGAAAAGGAGCCTTGAACGTGGTGGCCGACGCGCTGTCACGGCAGCCGCGCGAGGTGGCCGGCCGCGCACACGTGGAGCCAGAGGCAGCGTCAACTTGTAAATGGCTACAGCAGCTGACGGCAGCGGTGTTGGAGAGCCCCGGTAAATATCCAGATTACGCCATACAAAACGACAGGCTGTACCGCCGCATCGCCAACGATCTGGGAAAAGATGACGTGTCACCATGGAGGCTATGCGTGGCCGCGCCTTTACGACATGAGGTGTTGAGAGAATGCCACGATGACGCAACGGCGGGCCATATGGGAGTACGCCGAACATGTGCGCACGTCGCAGACCGATACCACTGGCCTGGTCTGTATCGCGACGTCGCGAAGTATGTGCACCAGTGCCTGTTGTGCCAACGCTATAAAGCCCAGCAACAGCTGACAGCAGGCAAGATGCATTTCAAACCAGCAGAGGCAGCGTGGGACGTCGTATGCGCCGATTTCGTAGGGCCGCTGCCGCGGTCCAAACGGGGCAACTCGTACCTACTGGTCCTTGTGGATAAGTTCGGTAAATGGGCAGAACTGGTCCCCATCCGGCGGCAGTGAAGCTGGCCCTACGAGAGCGGATCCTGGCGCGGTTTGGGACGCCGCGAAAACTCATCACAGACAATGGAGCCCAGGCATACAGCAACAACTGACGGCACCATATACACCTCAGGAGAATCCCACGGAGCGGACCAATAGAACGGTCAAAACATTGATTGCTCAGCTGGCGGACGGGCAGCACAACACGTGGGACGAACAACTGCCGGAAGCACAATTGGCTGTTAATACAGCACTTTCAGACGCAACGGGCTACTCACCGGCTTTCATCCTATTTGGGAGAGAACCAAGGCATCCACGCACACTGTACGGCAGGGATCCAGACGCCCCTGAGGCAGTACCAGCTAGCCCACAAACACACGCGACACTGGTACAGTTCATTGCCCGAATAGCGAAAAGAAACCAAGTGCTGGCCAGTGAGGATCAGAGCAGCAGAGCAGTTTGCGGCCAAACTGGCGCCACGCTTCGATGGGCCATTCACAGTGCGTGCATTTATATCCCCAGTCATAGTGCGCTTACGACCAGTAGCGGGCGGCAGAGGTAGAACAGCACATGTGCGAGATCTGAAGGCGCTGAATGCAGACGTCAGCGTCGCCGACGAATGCAGCGACAGCGGCAGTTGCGCTGGTATGGGGACCATGCCACTGACAATCTCTCAACAGTCAAAACAGCAGCCATTACAACAGCCACGACAACAGCCGCAACAGCGTAAGCGGCAGCAACACGATAGTAGTGGCCGCAGCAACGGTAGCGACGTCAACAGCAGCGGCACCAATGCAGCAGCGGCTGCGGCTACGTTGATGAAGGCAGTAGTGGCGACGCCGGCAGCCGCGGCAACAGGTGACGACAACAGCGGCAGCCATGGCGGCAGCGGCAGTGGAGGCAGCGGCAGCCATGGCGGCGACGCCAACACAGCCAGGCCAGCGGTCAAGCGTCGGGGCAACCAAAGCAGGCGCTCCTAGCTAAAGAATAACGTCCACGTAATCCTGCAGACATAATCGAATTTTATTACGTTTCAGCCACATATAGCACAAATGATACCTCAACGGCACCGATGGGAGGCCCGGTGCACTGGTTGCAGTCGACGCAGTATAAGATGTACACCGTGCATGCCACGGGCACATAATTAGCTGTTGCGTGCTATAGGTACTTTTGCGAGATACAGCTCGTTGCCCAGCAATCACCAACAGATTCCGCACCCCAGAATTTGAAATTCAAACACGTGGCGGAAATGGAGAGCGAAGACAACGATGCGACAGAATGACAGCGCGAGCAGCTGACTGTGAAGTTACAGGTGGCGTCGACAGGTGGTCAAACGCGAGGGGTGGCAGCGCTGCCACCCAGCTGCTACACATCTGCCTTTCGATTATGGCGCGATGCTAACAAAATTTGAAAACACCATCGATCGGGCAGTTCGACCCTTTGGGGAAAGGGGGAGGTGTAACGACGCACAGCTGCCAGCTACGCAACGCGTCGTCACGATGCCGATGAGTAGTTTTTAAGTAGGTGTAAGTAGTTGTAAGTTGAAGAGAGTTTTTGGAGTTAGTTCGGTTGGAGAGGGAAACGAACGCGCATTGAAGCGCACCCTCCTATTTGTTACATTTGGGAAATAAAAGATAAATTGTATACACGGCGAGCATCATATTTGAATGGTAACTGCGGGCTCACTTTATTCCTGGGGAACCAAACAAAGAATTTTGCAACGACTCTGGCCGACGAGTATACCCGGGCCAGAGCAACGTTACAAGGTAGAGACACCAAACTTTGCACAAAGATGCGTTATATGTGTACGCTGTGCAAGTTTGTTTTATTTTTTTGATTTCCCCCCCATTTTCCCTCTATGGGATTTTCCTGATTTTCCATTCGTATAATCGCCTATATCTCGGAAACCTACGGACACCATATTTTAGTCCCACATGCCTTATGCGAATACGCAGAAAATGCGTATTTTGGAATTTCCCACCCTCCCCCCTCTCCCATGCAAATCGCGATTTTCTCTAACTCCCGTAATTCTTAGAATTTCGAACTAAAATTTTGCAAATACCCAGTGTTAAGGTGGCAGCGGCCACTGTAAATTCGCAGCTGCTAACAGCAGGTGCGGCAGCGGCCGCTGTTTGCCTGCGGCTGTTATCGCTGCCTGCGTCGACGTCGGCGACACGAGAGAGCACTGCCGTCGTCAGCTGCGATCTGACAGCCGCTACTTCGGCAGCCTAAACCTTTGTACTTTTTCGCCTTTAACACTCCCTGAAGAACAGTGAATAAAGCAAGAGCTGTATATTTGAAGTCTACTCAAGACCAGCGCCTTTTTACTAACCTCAAAGTGTCAAGAGGAGTTTTCAGCAATTTCATTCCCTATTTCGGTGACCCACTACAGCACCCAGTTAGTAATTATGTGTCCGTATGCCAAGTTTTATCATGATAGACCGATTTAACAAGAAGTTATAGCCATACATATATTTGCTGCTGCAGCGCTGCACAAGCGCTGCCCGCGGCTGTTGTTGATGCTGGTGCTTTGGTTGACTGCGAACATGCTTACACAGACCAATATACGAGAATAAACATACATACACTCACATAGACGCAACTGCTTTGTATATGTGCAATTATACAGCCTTTACGTGAGTACGAATACCAAAAGGGGTAAAATCGATCAAAATTTTTTTTTTTTAATTCTCTTACTTTTTTTTAATTTCTATAATTATTCTGAACATATGTACAGAGTATTTCAAAGTCGGGACACTCGACTTTAGCTTTTTTTTCTTGCTTCTTTTTGGAGTGTCGCTTGACTTGTGTCGCTTGAAATAAAGCATATATATACGGCTCTTCTGTGACCGATTCACCGGTCTATAATTGCCGGCATTAGGTCGTATCTAAAAGAAGATCATGGCGACTGGGATAACCACATTCAAGGCATCAGCTGTGCTTTGCGCAACTCGTATCACCAGAGTATGGGGTGTTCACCTTATCACGCTCTTTTCGGTTTCGATATGGTTACCCATGGATCTCAATAGGGTCTTTTGAGAAAACTTAACCTATTGGATGAGCCACAAAATGTGTTGCAACGGGATGACCAATTACAGTTGTTGCGTAGGGAATTAAAAGAAAACATCGCAAAAACTGCGGAGCATAATATGCATCAGTATAATCTGCGTACTCGTGAGATTGT